TGGAGCTTCACTCCGGTGCTCGATGCCGAGGTGGATGGTCGTGTGCAGGTTTGGATGAAAGTATTGTGGTCGACAGGGGTCGAAGTCGGTACGATGGCCGTGTGCAAGTCCAGATGAAAGTCTGGTGGTCGACAGGGGCCGATGGCGCCCCTTGGACGTTGTTTCCCTTATTGAAGCCGTCGTCGAAGTTCTTGTTCAAGGTCATCCTAGGTGGAGATCATCAAAAAAAGTTGGTGGTTTTGCTTAGGTTGTCGCCGGGTGGTGTGTGAGTTGTTCGGTTTTTGGCTTGGTTTCCCTTATAAACTGGGTCACTATATATTTTCCCCTATCTATATAAATGCGCATGAACACCATACCCTCTTATGAGGTTCGTAAAAAACTCGGAGGAAGAACCCTCTTTATCAGAGATAGTGAATGGGGCACACGAGCTTGCATAATATTGCCTCAATGTAAAACTTGTAGTGCTTTAATAGGTGGTGCATCGTCCTGCGCGATGTGCTTTTTTCTCTCTGATTGTATGAATTTCTTGAGTAATATTTCAACACTACAATTTTTTCGGACAAAAGTATTTCAACACTACAAGGAGCGGAAAATAAAATAAAATAACCTCTAAGTCCTTTCATCTTGCAAGTATGACCCGAAGATTAATAAGAAAAGACAATCGAGTCATGTCACATACTACAATCTCATCTGAGGCTCTGAAGCCACCATCTCGGACCACCGCCTACCCAACTAAGGCAAGGAGAAGAGGACCTCGCCATGGAGGTTGAACAAAGGGCACCAAAGATAACTAATATACTGAACTTTAGCTCCACCGACGGAGGTCTATATAGCGGAACAATAAGTACAATGTGAAAGATCGTGGGTGTCGCCTAGAGGGGGGGGGGTGAATAGGCGCTTTTAAAATAATTACAGTTTAGACTTGAACAAATGCGGAATAAACCTAACGGTTAATTTGTCAAGCACAAAACCTACAACAACTAGGCTCACCTATGTGCACCAACAACTTATGCTAAGCAAGATAAACTACTAAGATATAGCAAGATATATGACAAAAAACAATATGGCTATCATAAAGTAAAGTGCATAAGTAAAGGGCTCGGGTAAGAGATAACCGATGCACGCGGAGACGACGATGTATCCCGAAGTTCACACCCTTGCGGATGCCAATCTCCGTTTGGAGCGGTGTGGAGGCACAATGCTCCCCAAGAAGCCACTAGGGGCACCGTAATCTCCTCACGCCCTCGCACAATGCAAGATGTCGTGATTCCACTAAGGGAACCTTGAGGGCGGTCACTGAACCCGTACAAATGGCAACCCTTGGGGGCAGTCACCGAACCCATACACTTTGACAACCCTTGGGGGCGGTCACCGGTACCCGTCAAATTGTTCGGGGTGATCTTCACAACCTAATTGAAGACCCCGACGCTTGTCTGGAGCTTTACACCATAATGATTGAGCTCCGAACACCACCAACCGTCTAGGGCGCCCAATCACCCAAAAGGAACAAGCTCAAGGGTACCAAGCACCCAAGAGTAATAAGCTTCTCAACTTGTAACTTCCATGTATCACCGTGGAGAACTCAAATCGATGCACCAAATGCAAGGGCAAGGGCACACGGAGTGCCCAAGTCCTTCTCTCCCAAATCCCACCGAAGCAACTAATGCTAGGGAGAAAAATGAGAGGAAGAACAAGAAGGAGAACACCAAGAACTCCAAGATCTAGATCCAAGGGGTCCCCTCACAAAGAGGAGAAAGTGATTGGTGGAAATGTGGATCTAGATCTCCTCTCTCTTTCCCCCCAAAACTAGTAATAATCCATGGACGGATTGAGAGACAGCAAGCTCGAAGAAGGTCAACAATGGGGGAAGAACACAAGCTCAAAGGATAAGGTTCATTGGGGAAGAAGACTCCCTTTTATAGGAGGGGGAAAATCCAACCGTTATGCTCACAGCCCGCATAGAGCGGTACTACCGCTCCTACAAGTGGTACTACCGCTAGGGCGGCAGAAGCCCAATGAAACAACATTGCAGAGGGGCAACATGGCGGTACTATTGCAGGAGCGATACTACCGCCTGCCCTTGCGGTACTACCACGCGACCATGGAAGAAAAGAAAAACTGCTGCGCCTACAACCGCTGGAGCTAGCTACGAGAAAAAGTCGGCGCGGTACTACCGCTCACAAGGAGCGGTACTACCGCGCAGGGGCGGATGTAAAAAATTACATCCGCACCTACTACCGCACGAAACAGCGCCAGGACACGAGGCAGCGGTGAGCAGTACTACCGCGTAGGACGCGGAAGTAAAGAATTACTTCCGCGCCTACTTCCGTGCGCGCCAGCGCTCTAGGCTAGAGGCAACGGTACTACCGCTCACCAAGAGCGGTACTACCGCTGGCCTGCGGTACTACCACTCCCTTGAGCAGTACTACCGCACGCCATAGAGGCTTTAGCACTTGGATGCCTTCAAAACGCAGCTAAAGACAACAGACGGATCCAATAAAAACAGAACTGCCATAATTTCTGCAAATGAGCTCCGAATTGAGCAAACTCAAGCTTGTTGGATACAAGAGAACGAGTAGCATCAAAACATGGTCTAACAAAAAGAGGAGAGAAACCTCCAACAGAGAAGAACTGACAGAACCTCGAACATCGAAAACATCATAGAAGAAGCATGTGAACTTCGTTTTCGATGAACTTGAGCTTGTCATCAAGATGACCATAAGCTCCAAATCTCACAAGGAGAACCAAACAATAACCAAGAAATATGATGCAAGGATGCAATGTTTGAGCTCTCAACGAACAATACGGTCAAGCTACTCATCGAGAGCCCCCCTTGATAGTACGACCATCGATCCTATAACCCGGTCTCCCAACTACCACCATGAGACCGGTAAAATAGAAAACTTATCAAGGGCAAACCTTTGCCTTGCACATGGCCCACTTGAGCTAGATGATGACGATCTTGACTCCCTCAAGTTGGACCACCTTTCTTGACTGCGTTGAGTCGATGAAGACTAGATGATTGCTCCCTCATACTCCATTATGGGTGAGCCACTCTTCGACACATCTTCACAAGTCCATTGACACCAAAATGGACGGCAAGCTTCAAGCATTTGATCTCTTCGTGATGCTCCACTCAAACTTGCACACCGCAACCTAACCCCACAAAGAACTCTCACGAAGACCACGGGTTAGTACACAAAAGCGTAATTGACAATGCTTACCATACCATGGGATCACTTGATCCCTATGGTACATCTTCTACGCTTTGTGTGTTGATCAACTTGATTCACTCTTTGACTTAGTCTTGATCAACCTCTCACAAGACCAATCTTTAGATAATTCCTTGAATAGCACCTTGGTCGACACAAACTCTCCTTGAAACCAACACATGTATTCCAAGAAAATCCTATGGACAAAACCTTCAAATAAAACTCAAGGCAATCGTTAGTCCATAGAGATTGTCATCAATTACCAAAACCAAACATGGGGGCACCGCATGTTCTTTCACAATGCACCTCCAAACAAGCTTCATCACCCGACAAAAACACCACATTCAAGAAAGTATGAGTGATCCCCCTCCCCCCCTCTCCGGCCCCACGATAGTAAAGGAAGAGGAGAGAAACAAGTCTTCTCAGCCAGATCCAATGCAAGGCTTATTTCACGAGCCCCTAGCGGATCACCCTTCGAGATGCGCCATCCACCATGGAAGACGGGCGGAAGAGGAGCCCTTGCAGCTCTATGACGCCGCTTGTGAGCAGCGGGGTGAAGCTCCAGCTTGGCATTAAGCGCACGCACAGCCCTACCCAGACGCAATTAGAATAGATCATTTCCCACAATTTTTTACCGTAAATAAAAGAAATTTTTACAGTAAATTACTGGTGCGTGGCTTACTGACTACTGTAATACCCACACACAATATTTATTTTAGATGTTTTTAAACTTTTCAACTCAGTTTTGAACTTTTCTGACCCACAAAAAAAAGTTTTGAACTTCTCTAAAATCCTTTTTTTAGACAACTCTAAGGCTGTGTTCGCTTCACGGGATTTTGATACTTTTCCACAGGAATGTCCGTTCCACAGTTTTATCTCCCTTGGCAGCGTTCGGATCAAAGGAAACATCTACAGTATCCCTGTGGAAAGATTCTCTCACAATCGCCATTCCAAAGGATTTTGTAAATCTGGTCTAATCTCTTTTTTAGGCGGAGGCCCGAGGCAGCCACTATGCAAGCTGAATAAAAAATTACTTCACATGGCAGTGAGTGAAGATAAACCGGCATGCAATGAATAAAATAATATACGTTGTCGCATTGCTAGTACAAACACCTCTGTAAGGTTTCCAATGAACCGAACACCTCTCCTTTTTCTCATTCGTCTGTTTTGGGTCATGCAGGATTGCACTGTACAACCAACTCCGTTCCTGTACTTTTTTATATTCCTTAGTTTTTCTGACCTGCATACCGAACGGGCCCTAAAATCCTTTCTAAAATCAAGGGAGCAGAGCACAAAATCCACAGTCGCGTTTAACACGGCTGCCATGTGACGGCGCGGTGCGGTGGCCCAACCGCCCACCGCGACCGAGGCCCAAGCAGCTCACTCGCACCCACACCAACCCCCTACCGCGCATCCGGTCGAACACCTCGGCCGCACCCACCACCACCACCCACCTCCGACGTGCACACGCGCCGCACTCCCCTCTATATATCCGCACGCCTCCAATCGCCACCACTCGCCGCCCACCTCCCCCTCTCCACTCCCCCCTCCGCCGACGCCCCACCACTCCCCCCTTCCCCCTCCGCCGCCGCCGCCGACGCAATGGACTCCGTCGCGTCGTGGGGGCTGACCCCGCTGGCGGACGCCGACCCGGACGTCTTCGACCTCATCGAGCGGGAGAAGCGGCGCCAGCGGAGCGGGATCGAGCTCATCGCCTCCGAGAACTTCACCTCCTTCGCCGTCATCGAGGCGCTCGGCTCGGCCCTCACCAACAAGTACTCCGAGGGCATGCCGGGGGCCCGCTACTACGGCGGCAACGACGTCATCGACGAGATCGAGAACCTCTGCCGCGACCGCGCCCTCGCCGCCTTCCGCCTCGACGCCGCCTCCTGGGGCGTCAACGTGCAGCCCTACTCCGGCTCGCCCGCAAACTTCGCCGCATACACCGCGCTCCTCAACCCGCACGACCGGATCATGGGGCTCGACCTCCCCTCAGGCGGACACCTCACCCACGGCTACTACACCGCCGGGGGGAAAAAGATCTCCGCCACCTCCATCTACTTCGAGAGTCTGCCCTACAAGGTCAGCGCCGCCAACGGCTACATCGACTACGACAAGCTCGAGGAGAAGGCAATGGACTTCCGCCCCAAGCTCATCATCTGCGGAGGCAGCGCCTACCCCAGGGACTGGGACTACGCCAGGCTCAGGGCCGTCGCCGACAAGGTCGGGGCCATGCTCCTCTGCGACATGGCGCACATCAGCGGACTGGTCGCCGCGCAGGTATAATCACCACAAACTCACCTCGACTTGTTACATTCAGAAATTGGATCTTCGCTTTAGGATTCCTCTTCTATGGATGCGATCTGGTTGTTGGGATCTTAGTAGTAGGTACCTGGTTGTTGAGCTTTGTAGTTGTATATGATTGTCTTTTAGCTGTGTGCATCTATTAGATCTGTGCATGTTTCATAAGTGGTTGGTGCTTGGTTGTTCTGAACTGGAAAACACTCTGTTTACCTGGAATGTTGCTATTAGATCTGTGCATATTTTATAAGTGAGTAGCACTTTGGTATTCGTTGCATACATGTGTATTAAAACGTTGCGTAGTAATTTCAGACAAATACAAGATTGAAGAATTAACAAAATTTCAGACAAATACAAGATTGAAGAATTAACAACAGTTTTTTTTCCCTGATAGCACATGCAACAATCTGGAGTTCATACTTCAGTGAAATTGTTTGTTGTAAATAGTAGTAGTAGTAATAATAATTGTTAATCTTTGTTTCAGCGTAAATACTTGAGAACATTGTTTGGAAATAATCAATTGTGTTTTTGCACTGATTAACCTATGGAATGACTGCTCTTATACTACCCTTTCATCAAGCATATGACAAGCAGTCTTGAGTCCTGACTTGGCATATGGCACAGTATAAATATAATGTGCTAGTTGCCTCAATTGCATACACATTTTTCATACATTGAGCGCTCAGCTGTCTGTTAGGGTGACTGATGTGCATATTCCTTCTGTACTGTATTTAGTCAGAGGAACCACTTGTTTGACTGTATTTTTCTCATGTTCTTCTGAACTCTGCTTTCCTGTAAGTGAAGAAAATACTTAGTATAGTCATGAAAAATGCATATAGTGTACCATGGAATTGAAAAGGATGTCCTATTAATTTTTATAAAATCCTGGTCATCTTCCTTTAGGTGTTTCAGTTATACCGCAATAGGTTGAAGATTAATGAGTGTATGAATGTTGATGTAATCCTACAGTTTCTAAGATGCTTTACTGTTTCCTTTCTTTTATGTAGGAAGCTGCAAATCCTTTTGAGTTCTGTGATGTGGTTACCACTACAACACACAAGTCTCTCCGGGGACCGAGGGCTGGTATGATCTTCTACAGGAAAGGCCCTAAGCCTGCGAAGAAGGGCCAGCCTGAGGGTGCTGTGTATGACTATGAGGACAAGATCAACTTTGCGGTGTTCCCATCGCTCCAGGGCGGTCCGCACAACCACCAGATTGCTGCCCTTGCAGTTGCCCTGAAGCAAACTTTGACTCCTGGATTCAAGGCCTACGCAAAGCAGGTCAAGGCCAACGCTGTTGCCGTTGGAAAATATCTCATGAGCAAGGGTTACAAGATGGTGACTGATGGAACTGACAACCATCTTGTTCTATGGGATCTCCGCCCTCTTGGCTTGACTGGTAAGCCAGTTTATTTGTGTGAGTTGATTTTCTAGCAGTCCTATTATCACTTGTTCTAATAATAGCTTATTTCTGCAGGAAACAAGGTTGAAAAGATGTGTGACCTTTGTAGCATTACATTGAACAAGAATGCCGTCTTCGGTGACAGCAGTGCATTGTCCCCGGGTGGTGTCCGCATTGGTAAGGATCACTCCGTTTGCTTTAATGATTTAATTACATCTGCTGGTACTGCAAGCCTGAAAAAAATTATTATTACCTCCATCCGAAATAGATGAGTTTCTAGAATGTGTGCAGTCAAACTTCTCATTCATTAGATTGGAAATATGGAAATATTTCCATATTCGCAATTTGTAGTTAATGAATGGAGGCTGTACTGTTTACTTCATTTTCATGTTGCATACATTTCAATGTGAGCAATCAGGGTCGTTGTGACTTGTTATTCACCACTGTTGACATGATAATTTTTCTCTGAAATAAAACAAGTACATGGTGCGAACTAAATTACTATGACACTTTATGAGTGAGAATCGTCAATAATCTGAGAGATTTGTCTGTGATTGTTTTCAGGTGCTCCGGCGATGACTTCCAGGGGTCTGGTCGAGAAGGACTTTGAGCAGATCGCTGAGTTCCTCCACCAGGCTGTGACCATCTGCCTGAACATCCAGAAGGAGCACGGCAAGCTGCTCAAGGACTTCTCCAAGGGCCTGGTGAACAACAAGGACATCGAGAACCTCAAGGTCGAGGTCGAGAAGTTTGCCCTCTCCTTTGACATGCCTGGCTTCTCGCTCGAGAGCATGAAGTACAAGGAGTAGGATGATGATACATATGGTGTGGTTGTCTCCGCTAATCATCCATAGGCCTCGCTCTTCTAAGCCTTATTGGCCGCCGCGCGATGCCGCCTTGTGCTTGTACGAGATTTGTCTGCTCGCCCTGGAGCCCTGGATAGTTTCATGAACGCCCCCCGCCTCATGTGTTTTGTTTGCCATCCACATTCCATCATATTTCTTTGTAGGAACTGTTCGCTTGGAGTCATTGAATGTTGAGTATTTGCAATAATCTTCCATATTATTTCTTTGTACGCTCTGCATATGGGAAAAATATACTGTATGTGTTACTTTCTTTTTTTTGAGAGAGAACTGTGGTGCTACGTAGTCTGATCAATCAACTCAACGTTTCCAAAAGAATCACTTCGAGATTGTAGTGTAATCTGGGCATACTCTAGGAATTCAGTTTTAAAATATGGAGCATGTATATAGAGAAAGAAAAGAAGACAGTCAGCAGTTATTCTCTCTCTCATCCAGAAACAAGAATCCAAGCCAGATCAAAAACAAAAAGAAAAAGAAACAAGAATCCACTACAAGCGCTCTCAGCGATTTGGGATTTGGGCTTTCTGGCCCGTTGGATCGTTTTGCTTGATGCGATTTGGGTTGTCAGATCGAGCCCTGGGACAACCTCGCCTGTCGGATCGAGGTGGGGCTCCTGTAGCAATGATAGTTTCACCCTGGTCGTGCCACCGCGCGTAAATAGCCTGCCCCGTCGGGGGCATTTTCGTCATTTCACTTTGTTGGGAAAATATCCAATATCTCTCCCCCGCACTCGCACGTCCCACCTCCTCCCCCTCTCTCGATCTCCTTTGCGAACCCTAGCCCCACGCTCGCACGCTCCCTGTCGCGCCGCCGCCTCCGCCTCTGCTCGCCGTCGGGCCGTTTCCTTCTTCCCCGAGGGCGGCGAGCCGGAGCTGCCCCTGCGCGTTGTCGACCACCTCCTCGCTGGCTGGACGCCGTCGACTACGAAGCCGGTCTTCTCTAAGTGCGTGCCGCCATATGGGTCGCCGAGACGCCGAGGCCGAGGTGGAGCTCCAGACCATCGAGGCCATGTACGCCGCTGAGTCCACCAGGCACCGCCACCTCCCCGACTGGTCCAAGACACCAGCCCCCGCCCCCGTTCGCCCACGGTCCAACCCAGTCCCCGCGGCTGCGTGTGCCTCCTCGCCGTCGTGGGTCCTCTCGCCCCCCACTTGCCAAGGTGCGGCTCCCCCTCTTTTGCCTCTCATGTTCTACTCCAAAATGCTTCTTTTGTCTATCTTGAAGCTTCAGTGATGCTGCCAAATTTAGTCTATCTTGAAGCTTGGGAACATTCAAATTTAGTCTAACTTTTGAGTAGCAAGTTCCCTGATTTTTTTTGAAGCTTCAGTTTTGCATCTCAAGTCCGATCGAAATGCACAAGACATTCAAATCACTGAATGAATGCCTAAAAAGAGGAAAAAGGCAGCAAGGAGGGAGAGGATATTTTTGTATCTCAGGTCTGAATGAGATGCACATTATAATGTCAATATGTCATCAGATTAATTGGTTTCTTGGGGGTCCTAATGAGTTTTATGAGAAAAACTAGCTTAAATGGCAGCAAGTTTTGAATACAGTGTATGTTCTATAGCTTCTTTAACAAGATCACCGAATACAGTTTTTTGGGGTCCTTGTATTGTTTATCATGTTTATCACTGCAAGTTCATGATCCAATAGTTAAGAGTAAGTCTAAGATCATTTGGTCACAGAAATTTGATCTTGACTGAACATCAACTTGACGGATCAAAACCTGGCACAAATTGACAGGTTCTGAACATCAACTTGACTGAACAAAGATCTTGATTGAAAGAACTTGTGCTTGGTCCTATGCATCTACAGTTTTGTTAATAGATCTTTTTTGTATCTTTCATTCTGTCTTGATCTTGACTGAGTAAATTTTCAGTGTGAGTACCAGCTACTCACCCATGTTCTTCTCTATAATCAAGTGTTCCCGGGGAAGCCTAGTAATGGCCAATTCATCTCAAAATAATGCAAACCCTTGCAAACTGCTCAGGTAGCTATTGCTCCTAATCAAATGACAATTTATCCTTTGAACTTGTTCACAAATGCAACTCTGGTCGCTGGCTTCTACATATGGACCATGTGGAGTACTCTGTATATTCAACATAGTGATTTTCTTTTGCTTATTTGATTTTTGGATTAATTTGTATATTCAACATATATTGTGGAAATCTTGAATTTTATTGAAACCTCTATACTTGCTTGAACTGATGTTCAGGAAGTAGCTGAGCACACCTATGTCATCGGTTGTAAATAGCTGGACTAAAGGATCTATGCACATATCTGCACCCCAAGTGCAGGTTTATTGCTGGAGTGTGGAATAGTTTGAGCACGACAGTCAAGGTAAAATGACAAAACTGCATGTTACACAAATCTTCTATGATTACACAAAACTGCATGTACACACAACCCTGCTGTGCCTATTCTTTACAAGTGCTAATTAACAGTAACCGAATAAACTAACAGTAACAGATTCGGTACTGGTTGTCAAATGTGTTGCCGTGTCGTCATTGTCAGAACTGAAATGAAATGTGCTCGAACTGGTCAAGCACATGATTCAAAATGTGTTGAAATGATTAAAATGTGTTGAATCATGGCCATGTTCAAAATGTGCTTGGTCAAGCAGTCTAAACATATGGCTGAATATGCACTACTCCTCGAACTGGAATGAAATGGTCATGGCCATGATTCATTCAGTCTAAGTAGCAGTTCAACATTACTATTTCTTAATAATGAATACTCTCCTTCTGTTAACATTGTTTTTGTATCTTTCGTGAAACGCATGTTCCTGGCTTTAGCACTATTCTTAGAACAATGATTTAGCTAGTTGATGATGATGATTTCCAGTTGATTGTAAGGACCGCACATTTCTGATTCTGGAAAAAGTGAACACTAATGCTTATGTGCATTATGATCTCAACTTATTTATTTATTTATTGTCTGATTATTTTAGAGGCTTTATGGACACTAATTTATGTAACTCACTAATAATGCAATGAACAAATCTGTAGATCACTTAACTGAACGCCAAAGAAGTGTTTTCTTTTGTTGTTTCTCATGACACATAACTTCTTGGTTGTCTGCAAATGCAGGATATAGAATCAAACTCATTTCTTTATTGCAGACCTTTTTGGGCGTTTCTCGGAAAATTATACGACTCTTCATTAGGGTCATGATGAATGCCTGCTTTTCAAGTTTTCATGTGGATCTGCTACTGATCAGGGTCTGGTGAAAGGCAAGGACAAATGGCTTGTTTTGTCCAGTCCATGGTGGGCAAGGTCTTTGTCTCTGGGTTGCGAGAATATCTTTGACCGTCCATAATCTCTGGTCAGGTGCATACATCATATTCTTATAATATCATATGTGATTTCCAGTGGTGTTGTGTAAAAAGACTGCTTGTTATAGCTTCAGTTTGGCCTGGTTCAGTTTGGTTGCTCATGTTCATGTGTGTCTTCACCTCAGAAAAATTAGAAGGAAATCAAATTATCTTTTGGCCCGCTTCTCATTTTTATTTATATTACAATTGTTATTACTTGTGATAATAATAGTTTTAGTTTATAAAAATTATCAATATTGGTAAGTGACACTAAATTAATGTCTCTCTTTGCTTTGCTACCTCTCTTCGAATTTAGGAGGAACTAGATAATATTTGTCTGATTGATTTTATTTATTAGTAATGATTTATGGGAACAAAACACTGATAATGTTCTTCCTTTTTTCGAGTGCCTTCTTTGCTTTTGCTTTTTCATCAAATTTTGTTCCCTTTTTTGAGTCATGTCCCGTGTGGATATTTTGTGACCATGATTGTGTCTATTGATCTCCATGCACATCCTTATTTGGTATGCTAATGCTCTACTTACAAGTGAACAAGAATCTCAGTGTGTAGTGTGTAAACTCTCGACCACCTCTATATCTATCTGTAGTGCTATATTCTTTTGGGTGGAAATTATAGCATGTTGGTTCCAAATGGATAGTGAGTGTCTCACCCCGTGCCCTCTTACTCAAACTAGCTTGTAGAATTATTTCATATTTTAGGACAAGGATTAATGGCTACTTTTTATAGATAAATTTGATGCTTATTTGGTGTTCACTTTTGTTGATACAGAAGGCAAATTGTACTTCTTAAAGTTATGGTGGTTTCTACATTTTGATTTAGAGCCCCGGTCTGCGGGGTGGGGACGCATGGGTCCTTGGTCCGGCGCTATCGACATGATGTTGTGCGCCGATCTTGCTTTCTTGCTAGATAAGTATTTAGGAAAAATCTAAAATACTCCTTCAAGGTTTATACATCAATTGCAAAGGGTTTTAGGAATGCATCACTATATTGTTTTGGGTTTATACATGAACCGCAGAGAGTTTTATAAATGTATCATTATATTGTTTTAGGTTTATATATGAACTGCAAAAAACTTTAGGCATGTGAAAATCAGAGCTCATGAGGCATGTGATATTCTTTTTCTGTGGTGGGTGTATATATTATGTGATTTTACTTCCTGTTTGGTTTCTTGATAATCCCCAAGTGCAAGGAATCATCGTAGCAATTTCTAAAGATGGAAGTGATAAGTATTGAGTGTCGAACCCACAAGGAGCTAAAGGTAAGATCAATATTCTCTCAAGTCCTATCTGCCACTGATACAACTGTACGTACACCGAACGTTTGCTTCCAACTAGATACGAGAAATAAAACTACGTTGTGGGTATGAAGAGGATAACTTTGCATGATATCAGAGAGCTAAAATATAAAAGTAGTTGCTGTTATCACAAAGTTAGAATATATTACTAAATAATATAAATAGCGAGTGTGGAATAAAGATGGATCGGTGTGCGGAATTATCCTAGGCAATTGTTAACAAGACCGGTAGTCATCATTGCAATTTCATATGAGGGAGAGGCATAAGCTAACATACTTTCTCCTCTTGGATCATATGCACTTATGATTGGAACTCTAG